TGATCCCTTTACTGACGAAGGCGAGGATATTGGTTTGGCTTCCTCGATGGCGAACATTTCTTTTGCGGATGGTTGTTCTCCGTACATTGTTTTGACTCCTCTCGATGTTGGGAATTTGAGAACCTGGTGTAGGGTCGAAGGTACAACTCTCATGTTGTGGATCCATGGCCTTCCAAAAAGGGCGTTGCACCTCATGTCGCCTTCGATCACGTGAAACTTCATTTCCTGGATGATTTTGGCCCCGTTAATTGGTAGAATTACCTCGCCTTTCGTGGTTTCACATGCCATATTGAATCCGTTTAGAACCAAGGCTGCGGGTACGATCTGGTCCCGTAGGTCGAGCTAATCTACGACCTTCAATCTGATGATATTGGCCGAGCTACCTGGATCAATCAACACACTCTTAACTTTAGTTTTATTCACGAGTACGGATATTACTAGTGCATCATTATGAGGTTGTACGACCCCTTCTACATTTTCATCATTGAAGGACAAGGTTCCTATGTGTGTGTAATCCTGAGTTCGAGATCGTTTTTCTTTCACAATCGATGTTTTAGTGCGTTTAAGCACTGGTCCCGGAGGGGTATCGGCACCGCCGATGATCATGTGAATGACGTGTTGCGGCTCTTCCTGCTTGTTTTGCTTGTCGAAATCCCCATTTTTAAAATGGTTCCTCGCCCTATCGCTCAAAAATTCCCGAAGGTGGCCTTTGTTAAATAACCAGGTTACTTCCTCTCTTAGTTGCCTGCAATCTTCCATTCTGTGGCCATGGGTGCCATGATATTCGCACATTTGATTGGGATTCCTTTGGGCAGGATCGGTCTGCATTGGTCGAGGTCATCTAGTGTCTTTGATGTGTCCGATAGTAGACACAATGACGGATGCTTCAACGCTGAAGTTATATTTCGATAACCGAGGTGCTTCTATATGATCAGAATATTTATCAAAGCCGCTCTTGCTCATAAGTCCTCGAGAATATTTCCCTCGATCAATCCTTCGATTGTTCCGGGAGGTGTTGCATGTCGAACCGTTGTTCATCTGATATGCGACGTACGGTTGATATCGGTCTCTGTTCGACCTTTGTTCTCTGCCGATCTCCCTTTGGTTTTTAGCAGTTGTCCTGTTCTGATGCGTGGATCCAGACGGAGCTCCCAACTGGTCATCTTCGATCCTAATTTTCGACTGATATCGATTGTGTATATCTGCCCAAGTTATTGTTGGATACTCGATCAAATTTTGCTTCAACCGACGCGATGCTATCGAACTTTGCTCGTTCGACCCTTAGGTGAAAGCTTGGACGGCTCAATCGTCTGTGACCGGTGGAAATTCCATGCGTTCCATTTGAAATCGGGATACGAATTCCCTCAGCATTTCATTACCCCTTTGCTTTACTTTGAAGAGGTCTAATTTCCTTGTTGCAACCTTTATGGTTCCAGCATGTGCCTTTATGAACGAATCTGCTAACATGGCAAAAGAATCGATGGAATTTGGCGGCAGATTGTGATACCAAATCATCGCTCCCTTCTAGAGGGTCTCCCCGAACCTTTTCAACAACACGGATTCGATCTCATCGTCTTCCAAATAGTTACCCTTGATGGCACATGTGTAAGAGGTGAGGTGTTCGTTAGGATCGTTCGTACCATTATATTTGGGAATTTCGGGCATACGAAATTTTTTGGGGATCGATTTTGGGGCTGCACTCGAGGGAAAAGGCTTTTGTATGAATTTTTTCGAATCCAGCCCTTTTATCATTGGCGGAGCTCCCAGGATCTGATCGACCCTGGCATTGTATTTTTTCACTCTCTTGTCGTTGGCTTCGACTCGTTTTGTGAGTTCCTCGAGCAATTTAGTAATCTCGGGAGTGGTCCCCGATTCTTGCTCATTTGATTTCACTATGGCGGGCTCCGTTCTGGGGGTGATTTCTCGAAGCGGATTGGGATCCGACCTGCTTNGATTCTTGCTCGTTTGATTTCACTATGGCGGGCTCCGTTCTGGGGGTGATTTCTCGAAGCGGATTGGGATCCGACCTGCTTTGTATATGAGTTTGGCTCTGCAACTGAGCTATCGCTACTTGTTGGGCTTGTAACTTGTAACATCTCGAATATCATGCGCAAGCTGACTCCGATTTCCCCCACGTTATGGGTGTCTCGAGCTACGAATCGAGTACCATCCTGAATGCTTTTTTTCGGTTCGGAACGTTGTTTCGCCTCAAGATCCACTTGCGAATTGACATCTAACGGTACTTCGGCTCGAATTTCTGGTACTTCGATTCGAGCCTCAGTGCCATCATTAAGTGGCCTTCCGGCCCCAGGTACCAAGTTGTTGGTTTCATCTTGAAGGTCGGCTTCATGGTCGATAGGTAAAGCCATTGCTGATTCGAAGTTGTAAACTGGTGTGTACTGCAGATTTATATCAAACAACCACTGTTATCCTTAGCCCCACGGTGGGCGTCAAACTGTTTACCCGAAAAATTGGATAACGTTAAATTTGTGTATGGTTCTAAGGATATGCGATACAATTTATACAAATCGTATAGAGAAATAGAAATATGAGTGTTCTTGGCTATGAGAATAGGAATAGTGAGCAAAAGAATGAATAAGGTAAAAATAAACAAGCATCAGAAGATATCTTTCAATATGAGAAGTGATCTTTTTTCTACCATGATGAATTGTCTCTTCCTCGATTTCCGCCAAGATTCTCTCTCTTAGTGCGGTTGTAACGACTCTTGTCTGTGAGCTCGACACTGGCTCGAACTCGTTATTGGATCGAGCCTTCGATTTTGGTTTGAGTTCGACCTCCGGGGTGGGCGTAGCGCATTTCTAACCTCGAAGCAGTACCTTGCGGATCGATTTGGTCACGGGCTCGATAAAAGTATCGAGTCGACTCCTCGATCAGCCTTCGGATTCGATGCTCATTTGCACTGCCTTCGGAACTCATCCCAAAATTCCACTTCGGTTGCTTACCATTTGAACTCGATCCAACGTAGGAAGACCGAAATCTATTTCGACCGTATACAATATCCTATTACAAATGGTACAAATGGTCATCTTCTCCAGTCTTGCTTTAGTGTGAAGAGTTATAGTAGAAGCAACTTGGGCTTGAGTTCAATTCAACCAGAACTCTGGAATACCAAAAACACCTAGGAACACAATCAAAAGCCCACAATATATAGCTTTAATTCCAAACTTAGGGAGAAAACGAAGGGAATGCAGTGATCTATACCTAGAAGAATCTAAAGAGAGGCAGAGAGGAGAGGGAGAGCACCGGATGAGATGAGAAACTGAAGACCTTGCTGGCGCTTACGTGTTGAACAAAAGGGATGTACACCAGAACAACTTTAAGCCACTTAGAGGCAGATTTCCGAGAATAACCCTGAAGCAGGGATGGAAAATTCCAAAATTAAACCCGAAGCAGGACGACGAAGAGCACCTCAACTCCCTCTTCTAAATAAGTAATAAATAATAATAAAATAAAGTAGAATAACCTTGTTAAGGATACATATAAATAGTCAAGACTTTTTGAGGTTATAAAAGTTATAGGGAACTTAAGTATTTTCCTAAGGTTTTCGATTCATTGATGGAAAGTTGATTTTTTTGAGTACGGTTAAAAAAACAAAACAAAATAAAATATTTAAAATCGTTCATTAGCTACCTCGGTAGAAGAAACTCATGTTTATTGTTGCACTAAGGGGATGTTTGGTTTGCGAATAGGGAGAATTAATCCCTGTATAAAATTTATATTTATTACATTATTTGGTTAGTATTGTAAGGAAAGTTAATTTTGGTATAGAAACCAATATAGTTTATATAACGTTTCGTTAGTTTTTTTTATACCCATATAAATAATACATGTATAAAATAATGAGGAATTTTTTATTTTATTTGAGATAGAATGTAAAATAAGAATACGTGTATTAGATTATACTTGGATTAAACTAACAAATGATAAAAATACGTGCTCTCTGTTTTCTATTATTGATAAATACCCGCTTGTCTGCTTACGGCTTGTTTGGATGGTTGTTACGCATCGTTTCATAATGTATCGTATTGTATTGTTATAATATATTGTATCGTTTGTTGAATATAATATTTGGATAAATTGTATCCGTTGACATTGTTTCATGATGTTACGTACCCGTAATATGAAGAATAAACTTCAATATTACAAAGAAAAATTGTGGTAGAGAGTAGAATTATTATACAAAAAGGTAGGATAAAGGATAATTTAATAATAATATAGGGTAAGATAAGAGAAAAAGACAAAGTAACGACACGATCACACCAAATCAGTCGTTACATAAAATAGTATTTTTTGTCGTTACGTAACGACAGATTTAACGATACGATACAATAAAATTTAAATAACAATCAAAATAAATATTATATTTAAAGTAACAATATGATACAATACAATAAGTAACGACCATCCAAACAAGCTGTTAATGTTTGTTTGCTTTTCGTAAACAAATATTTTTTAAACAAAAAACATATACTTTAAATTATATAATATGGACTAATTTTTAATACAACAAATCAAGTATTCAAAAAGAATTAATTTCGTAACTAAATCTCTACATAAGTAATATGTGCATAACTTAATTCTTGCATAATTAATACCTATATAGCTTTATCCCTACATAACTATACTCCTTCTAGTCCATTTTAATTATTTTTTTTTATCTTTTTGTGATTCACAATATTTGATTCTTTCGAATATCAAGAAGGAATTAACTTTCTTTTTTCAAAGTTGTCTTGGAGTAAAGAGTCTAGAAGTATTTATTATATTTTTAATGAATAAATTATGATTATGTGATGAATTTTATTATTAATTAATAGTAAAAGGTGAGTTTTCTTAATATATGTAAAAATAATCGAAAAATTAATTAAAGTAAATAGGAAAGAGGAGTAATTATTGTATAAAAAATATGCCTTGCCTTTCTTTTCCAAAACATACCCACGTTTTTATAATGCAAAACACTCCCAATTCCCAAGATATTTGACAGTTTGTTATGTCCACAAAATGTCCAAAACAATTTTCTCTCTTATCAAATCATAGTACAACTCTTTCAGTGTTATGTACAACCACTTAAAGGCATCTCTTGCCTCCCCAACTGCACTATATTAGCCCTCCTCTCCCCTTTCTCTGGAGCATCAAGAACAATGGGTTTCAATCCAAGAATCCAACTGGGTATTCTCCTACTACTACTCTTATCCCTATACGCTTCTGCCAACAAAACAACAGTATACGAAATCCTCACAAAATACAGCCTTCCTAAAGGGCTTTTACCAGACTCTGTAAAATCTTACTCTCTTTCCAAAGATGGCGACTTTGAAATTGAACTAGAGAAGCCTTGTTATGTGGAGTTTGAATACTTAGTTTATTATGCTGAGAAGATTACTGGGAAGCTAAGTATTGGGTCAATTACTGACTTAGACGGAATCCAAGTAAAAAGATTCTTTCTTTGGTTAAATGTGAATGAGATCCGAGTGGATTTGCCCTCATCTGGTAGTATTTACTTTCAAGTTGGGATCATTAACAAGAAGCTTGATATGAATCAGTTTGAGACTGTTCATAGTTGCCGTGACAATGCTTTGGCTTTGTGTGGAGGTTCTCTTAGACAGGTTCTTCAGGTGATTTTCAAATTTCATTCGTGTTTGATTGATTATTTTTCTTCAATTGTATAGCTCCCTCCATCCAATTTTATGTGTAGCTGTTTGATTGGGCACAATAGTTTTAAAGTTAAAGTGTTTCTAAATATCGAGATGTGTCATTTGTTTTGGACAGGCGATATTGAAACTAATGTGATTAAAATTAAGTTTTCTCTGCGATTGACAACCACTTATATTGTGATTGAATTTGGCCACTTACATTTTTTGGTTCTCGCATATGTCAATGTGGTTTGTGAGAACTAAGTGCTAATTTCTCTTCATTAAGAGAATTTATTGTGCGAAACGTGAGCTTTAGAAAATTGTTGTCTTACATGTCCAAGACTTGCAGGTTTTGGCATGATTTTGTGTATATGGTTTCATATTGTAGACCTAAAAGTGGAACTTAAAAATCACAATTCACAACGAAGCAGGAGATTCCTAGAATAGAAATTAGGATCTGTAGTGGAACTAAGGAAAAGGAAAATTTGGGCTTTGGGGGTTTGGCAACGTTATCGTTACCCCACAATATCTTCTCCATTATGGGCAAATTAAACATTGCAAATTGAAAATTGATTTCTTCTTCACAAAGTTGTTGAGCATTAAGTCTTTAGTTGAGAAAATCCTGATTAAAATTTACATGTTAGTTTCATTTGTGCCAAACCATGCGATTGATTAATTTTCAATGTTAGGTGGTAATTAGTGCTGTAGTGTCTAGTTAATTTCTTTGTTCAGCGGTATTGATTTATTCTCCATGAATGCTCTTGTTTTTGCAGTTGTTGCAAGCCTTTCTTTTATTAGAGAAATAATGTCCCCTTTGCAACTCTATATTGTGGTTATCGTGCTGAGTTAGTTCTATATTATTCACCTAGCAAGATTTGGAGAAATATTTTCCTCTAGATTTTTGTTTTACTCTTGGTTTACTCATTGTTTCTCTCCTTGTCTTTCTGACTTGCTTTAGCAGAGCTCCAATTCTACTGCGCAAACATACGTGATAACAAAAGATAAAGAAGGAATAATAGAATTTCCTGTCCTGATGCTTCCTATTTCTCTAAGTTTACTCGTTGTTTCTGTTTTATTTCTCTCGATTTACAACTTGCCTTGACAGAATGCCAATTTTCTGAGAAATTTATAGAAAAGAAAGGGCAAGTAAGTAACGACACAGGCTGTTTTCTTTAGCTAATTTAACTAAAGAGAAAAGTGATGGTAGCTTTCCTACAGAACTACTGTTTGTCTGGTTGGACGAAGACATTGTTCAACACTATTATAAAAGTGGCAGACTTTTTTCCAGCTAATTTTGTGTCAAATGACTTTTTGGAGGATACCATTGTTTGAAGTTTCTTAGATATGAGAATCTCTACAATAGGTCATCATTCTGTTTTAATGTCAGTCAACGCCAACGGTGCTTTTATTCACTGCAAAAGAAGCTGGCTGTTATACTGATGAAATTACTCTCTTAAGCATAGTATTTCCAAATAGCCTATATGACGAGTGATGAGATCAAAGGAAATGCATAGGTAGGATTAAGATTCCTTTTTATATATTAAAGTACATCGGATTAAGATTGAAAAGAGATGTACTTGAAAAGAAGCAATGAAACTTGATCAAGAGTTGCAGCGTCTAGTCTTTAGTTCCAAAAAAACGTTGCAAGCTTATAATAAAAGGCAAGGAGCTTGGCTAATGGTATTCTTGCATGTTTTTAAGCCCAAGTTTTCAGCTGATTTTGATCTTAACTTATCTATTATTGCCCAAATGAGCTAATTTAGTTCTAGAAATTAGGTCAACCAAAATAAACAAAATTTTGGAGATTTTCTAGCTTCTACTGCCCTCCACCCACTTCTTCTCCATCTCTGCAATTTCTCATACCTATGCCAACCCCCCGGAATCTGTTAATCATTCTCCCCATGTTATTGATCCCTAGCGGTTCACAAGGGGGCTGGTGTCTCTGGTCTGCTGGGGTTCGCAATGGGATGTTTGTGAGGTTACTGAGAGTTCGGTAGCTGGAGCAGTTGAAGACAGTGATGGAGGGCTGTAAAAGCTAGTGGAACTTTTGAATTTCTGCTTAATCTAATTGACTCTTTAACCAGAGGACTAAGTTGTTTTTTTTTTCTTTTTCTTTTTTACTTTTCTAATAAGGTGATGGTACTTGATGAGATTTGTCTTTTCAAAGCTCTATCAACTTTGCTGTAGTAGTGCTTGCTTGTGAGACGACTAATCCTCGGCTTCAAGGTTCCAAATCTTAGGTCATGTGCAGCAATTTTTGTTCATCCCATTAAACCATTTTCTCAAGAGCTTTAACCTTTCAAAACAATCGTACTGTGATTTAGAAAGGCTCCTAGGTGTTATGACTTGCAACAACCAAAGGTTTGTGACTAGTAATTGCACTTTATAGAATTGATTGTGCTGTAATTGTCTTGGTTCTGTTTACTGCTTCAGTCATTGTCTATCTGACGGTTAGGTGAAAACCTCTTTCGTCACTTGATAACGCCTTAATAGCGAACGTGACAATTAGAATACAATTAAAATTGCTACTTTTGCCTTCATTTCTTTCTGTGTACCCCCTGTGGAGTTACACTGCTATCTACTTTGTCTAGTACATGTAGAACTCTAAGATGAGCTCTGTTTGGTTGATATTTTGCTCTTCCACTTCTTTTCCCTGTATGTTGGAAAGAGAAAAAAGAAGACCATTATACTGGTCTGTGATGTTGCTTGAATCCTATGAAGAAGCCGCCAAACACTTTTTGGAGGATCCGACACGAGTCAGGCGGCATTTTTGGAGGATCCGGGCAACATATAGCTGGGTTGAACTTGATCTTCTGGTCAAGTTTTGATATTTCAAACTGATTGATCTCTCATTTTTTTCCAGCTTCCGGACCCTGTCGATGATATGCCGATGCTTATTACAGAGTAGATGCGATCTAGTATACATCTCGAGCCAAAAGTTGCAGCAGCCAGAGATATCATTTGCTTGGTTTCTTTTGGAATCAGGGTCATCAAGACTGCATGTACTAGATGTATGATCAAGTAAATTAAGATTCCACGAATGTATCATGTTTAATGAGTTTTTCAATTATATAGTTCTGATAAATACTTATTTCTCACACCTCCTCCCCCTCCTCCTGCCTTGTTTCTGCTGCTTTCGGGCAAGCGAGGACGAAAAGAAGCAGAGCTAGACAAAGAAGAAAATGGATAAAACCCAGTGTTGGAGTTGAATTTCAAATAGAATTTGGATGGTCAAGAGCAATAACATCATAGGAAGTTAACAGCTCCTCTCTGTTATTTCTTAATATTGCTGCTACAATGCTAGCTAACTTAATATTTGGAATGAGTCTACAACTCATTGATTACTCGTGATTCAAAAAGGAAGTTGATTTTATACAAACTTTATAAATAACCAATCTATTAATAGCACCATGATCCATGATTTTGCATTGATGAAAATTTGAAATGGTTAACTGACGCAATACCGCCTCCTCCTCCGCATGACGTAAGATTGCACTGAGGTTCCAAAATTTGAGTTAGCTTCAAATAGAAAAGGATAGCCTATTGCACTAAGCTCCCGCTATGTACGGGATCCGGACAATTGCTGGACCATAAGGGTTTACTGTATGTAGCTTTACCCTGCATTTCTGCTTAGTGCATTAAATTTAACATTGTGCTTATTTTTTGAAAGAAATTTTGTTTTCTAGTAAATAAAATTTTGCACAAAGTTTTCACATTAAAAAGCAATCATTCATTATATTTTAAAATATGTTCTATTCACAAATTTTATAGCCAGTTTCTTGCACTGAAACAAACAAATCCTGCTCGGGGGCGCTCAAGGGTATTTGAGGCCTAAGGCGAAAGTCAAATGTGAAGCCTAAGTATTTAAATTTAAAAAAAAAAATTAAATGATATGTATGGAGTAAAATTAATGAAATACCAAATAAAAATAATACTAGAAAGATATTACCCGGATTCAGGAAGTTTGAAGAATGAAAACTTTGAGTCCAAAATATCTAGTTGGTTCTTGTCTACTTCAAAATTCTTGATGTAAATCTTGAAAACTATACTATATTTTTTATAAAGCAATAGAAGTATAGAATTATTGAAATCTTAAAAATATTATTGAACACTTAACTAATAAATTTTTGGAGAAAGAAGTGAAAAATAAAATTTTGGAGAAAGAAAAAAATATTGGAGAAAGAATTCAAGAAGGTGAGCAAGAATAAAGAGAAAGGAAGAAGATATTGGAACATAGGAAAAGGAGTAAAAAACGGAATTATTAAATGAACTCAAATTGAAAATTATTCATCTATCATTTTTAAGTAAGTCAAATTTTTACTTTATTTACTCTAAAAGGTTTTCTTTCCATTTATATGAAAAACACAAAAGTACTACTACATATATTTTTTTAAATACCTATAAAATATATATTATTTTTGAAAATTGGGGCATGCACATGCCTTACACACCGTACTCGTACTGTTAGAGCCGGCTTTGATCCTGCTTGCAAGTTCCTTAAAGGCAGAACCAATATGGAAACTTAAAGCTGGCTATATACCTATAATAAGAAAGTGTATTTCTTTGTGGCTTCAAATATCCAAGAAAATGCCTTTCACGCATGAAGAAACATCGATAACTAATTTTTCTAACTTCTTTCCTCTTTGCTTTACTTTTTTCCATGAAAATCTGATGCTTTAAAGCCAAAAACAACCCCTTAAACAGTTAAACTCTTCACCTCTTATCTATCTTTCCTACTATATATAGCCATTTTCACTGGCTAGCAATCCATCAATCAAGAAAGTTTTTGCCCAAATTTTTTAGAATAATCTTCAAATGGACCATCGACAAAAGGTTTCTTCCAACTCGAAGAATTTGGAAAAAGATGGTAAGAAAAGAGAGAGAAAAGAAGCAGAGACGCGGTTCGTGGTGGAGGATGTGAACAAGTTGGCTGATGATTTTATCAAAAATTTCAGGAAGCAACTTAAGTTTGAAAGAGAAGAATCATTTAAGCGTTTCCAAGAGATGATTAGAAGAGGAACGTGGGACTGATGTTTGTTCAATTATTTTTCATGATGTATGTTGATAGTTTATATTCTTTCTGTTATTTCAATGGATTCTCTAGTTTTTTTTTTTTTTTATATATTTATTATATTGGTGATAAGTTCGAGGAATAAAGTTGTTAACTATTACAAATGAGAGTATATTTATGTGACACTGGGAAATGATTTCCAAGATGAGAGTTTGTGAGTTTAATACTTATGAAAAATCTATCTATTACAAAAGAAGTATCCAACTTTTAGTTTGTAAAAAATTGATATATGTTAACCAGAACGTAAATCCAATACTTTGCACTCTTGGAAGGAAATTCTTTGAATTGTAATGCAACAACCCATAACTGAATTTTTCAAGATATACAGAGCTTCAACAAGAAAGAAGGAGGAGATCAAGATACTATATAACTTAGAGGTTAACCAACAATAAACACCATACCCAGTGTAATCTCACATAATAAGGTCCGGGGAGGGTAGTGTGTACGCAAATCTTACCCCTACCCTTGTGGAGGTAGAGAGGTTGTTTTCAATAGACCATCGGCTCAAAACTTAGGCTAACCATATTTCAATCATTCAATGAGACTTCCACCCAATCTTATGAAATACAAATCTTGAAATCAAGAGAGGAGGAAAAAGTAAGAAGCATAGGTTCCAACTATATTTCATGATCAATGACCAAACTATATTCACAAAAAGGGTATCTAAGACTAGAAGCTATTGGTACAAGACTACAGGCCAAAAGGATGTACAAACATGTAGCAGTCTGATCTCTTTGAGAATGTTTCTGAATAGCCCATTTTTACCATAGAAATTCATGCATGAGCCATTAATGAAGAATCACAACCCCCTTCTCTTTCGAGGCTACTGTGAGCCAATAGGAACAATTCCAGAAGACATCCATCTACAATTGAAGCCACGCACTAGCTGCAGAGGACTGGAAGGAAGAAATTCTCACGAATAAGATATAAGACTCAAACTTATCGTATACAACTTTTATTCACGACACGTCTCAGCCCTTTTCCTTATAGCTCTTCGCTCTATCTATTGGTGTTAAGAGGCTAAGAGACTTCTAGAGAAAGGGTACCATTTTCAGGTCGCTGCCGAAGGTCATTGGGGAGTGCAAAAGAACAGAATTATTTGCTTCATAACCAACACAGGAGCATGTCGATGATGTCAAAAGTGCTTATGGGAAAATCTTGTTCTTGAGACCTATGTTACTTGTACTCTCCGAAAATGTAGCCGGGTGCGTGTTGAATCCTCCAAAAGTAGTCCATGTTTGCAGGATCCGACATAGGTGCAGCAGCATTTTCGAGAGTCCATGCAACATAGCTTGAGATTAGAGAAGTTGAAGTAACTCTCAGTTTCTCGTCAAGGATGAGTGGCTAAGATCGCCAATGCTCAAGCTTGTAAGACCTGACAGTGCACAATATGACTCTTCAACCCTGCTCGTCCTGCGATGCTTGACCATAAATTTGTGAACAAAGTTCTGAAGTGACCTTTGCCAGCAATGTTCTCCCAAAGATGCGGGTTAGTTTCCACTCGCTTATCAGGATTTTTCACATCAACTATGCTGATGCTCATGTTGTTACGAATTATACAAAGTTTACCATTAAGTGGAACCAGAGCGGCAGCCTCCAAAGCACGAGAGCTTCCAAGGTGGAGCTTGCTATCAATAAATCTGATCCATGAATTCGTAGACTCATCATATACTCTAAGTTTACACCCATCAGGACAGTCCAAAGCCAATAGACGACCATCCATCGAGATGCTCGGGTTGCGCCAACCAGCAGCCATCCTGTTGTTGACTGGGCTCCACGCATTGATATCAGGGTTATAAGCTTCACTGAGAACTTCTCTGCGGGATCCCAGCCCTTTTACGAACCACTTCCCATCATATACTACCCCAATAAAGGGCACCATCGCTGTGCTCATATCAGCTATAAAACTCCAGCGCTTCCGGTTGGGGTCATAAACTTCAGCTGAACGGAGGGTCCTCTGTATTCCTTCACACTCTCCACCAGCGACATAAAGACAATTATTAATTACACAAGAGCCAAAGAAATGGCGTTTGCGGAGCATGTCTGGTGCCCTGTGCCATCTATTTGTTCGAGCATTGTAAAAGATTACCCGCCGCATAGACCCCTTGATTGGATCTTTTCCTCCAATCAAATAAAGATGGCAACCGCTAAGAACAGCGCAACCAAATCCAAGGGCTTCACTATAATCCCCTGGAACGGGTGGAAGTGGCTGCCAAAGTTGGTAAGTTGGGTCAAATGCATGCCATGAAATCCGCCCATCACGATCTCTTTTTACAACGTACACCCACTCTTCAGCCATTCCAAGACTCTTCCTTTGAGAGTAAAAGAAGTTACCCGCAAGAAGGCGATACCACCTTTTGCAAACTAGACGGAGCTTGCTATGTTCAGCACGAGGAACACGCACTAAACAAGCAATTGCAAGATCATCAGGTAGGCCAGGCAGAAGAGGCGGCTGCACTCTTGACCTCTCCCTCCGAGAGTTTTTAGTCTTGTGTGCATGAGAACTAATGTCTGACTGGATGCAAAGTTTTGATCCTGGGACAAATTTTCTTGCCCCTGCGACTGTCTTTAACCCTGAATCAACATTGCAATAGCATGACACAGAATCAACCTGCAATTTGTTTGCCAATTAGGAAATGAAGGTTTATTCCGTTTCTCTAACAACCAGAAAAATGTAGCATGGGAAGTGCGTTTTCTACACTAACACCCCAACACTAACACCCAAACAATAACAACAACGAATTATAATCTTAGCTATTAGCACAAAAATCGAGATAGAAAAAGTTAAGGACATGTTTTTCAATCTGATTATTGAGACGCTAAAAAGCCTGAGCAAGGTATATACACCAGAGTTCAAAAACTGAAGAACATAATTTTACTAGCTTAAAGCTTTTTCATATAAGCTCTGCCAGATAATACAGCAGAACTTTTTTTTCTGGTCTTCTTCTGTTTATATCTTTTTTGGGAGGGGGTGTAAAGATTAGAGTCTTATTAATCGTTACTCGATAAATAGATCAACAGAGCACAAGACCACCTTATATGCTTATAATAGCAAGGTACTAAATGATCTCCCTGCCAAATGATGCAGCCAAAAGCCGGTTTTCCACATATATAACTAACTAAACAATCTCCCTCCCAACAGCCTTTGTTAACAGAGAGAGAAAGAAAGTCTAGTGGCCCTTAATACTCAACGTGATACCACAATGAGAAGTGGAACACTTAAAAAATCATACTTTTGGAAGCTAAGTGAGAGGAAGTCTATATTTCACTTATAGATAGTATTTTAGACAACTAGCACCCCCAAAACAATTTATTGCAATACGACGATACCTAACCAATGTTAACCATATGACTTTTGGCACCTTCAATGCATACTAGAGCTAGGTAGCCTAAACTATCCACCCATGCTCTACATTTTTGAAGCTTCCAACTGTGGAAAAAGCTAACTGCCAAAAGTCAGCTCAGATACTAACCGCATTAAAATAGCTAGTTTGATGACAAACTATGTCCTGATTAAAGGTAATTACACGTGATGTTTCTTGATCAGCAGAGCGCGTTATGTTACCCTTTGTAAATCTAATATTTGTTCCTCCAGCATAGCTCCAGTTATGTGTAAGGCATCTTCATCACAGTACCAGTATGAATAAAAGGAGTGCACCTGACATAAAGGAAACTTCGATAAAGCTGCTAGATATAGCAGCTGCAGCCCTCAGAATGGTGAGCACCAATATTAGAGAGTACCTCATTTTTACTGAACACTCCTTTTTCTTCACTCAGTTGTTGGTTTAATTGCTTTTACCTTCAACTTTTCCCGGTCTCTCAGGCTTATATGTTTTCTCATCGTTAGCTTCCCTCATTTAACCATCACTTTTTGCAGCTATTTCTGATAAACGAATTACCACCTCATTCCCTAAAGAGTACTCAATGTGCTACTTATCCACAATCAATCTCCCCAAAAACCATAGTACTTTTATTATCCATACATACATCAATGCTTTGTGCCCACATAAGGTAAGCTACGATTTAGTCCATCTGAAAAAATGGCCTACTCTCTGATCCCGTGTAAATGGCATTGTACTACACACCTTATGGCTTCATATACAGCAGCATTTTATGAATCCTAAAGGAAAAAAAATTCAAAATGCAGACATATGAATCTAAATAGATTAAGACCAAATATACTACATACATAGCATACGATTCATTTAGATTCTCCATCAAAGTCAAGGTCAGCTAAAAGCAAGAAGTTTGAGTTAAGGAGCAAGGCTGGCTGATATCATGTGGATGTTTATTCTTAAGCATATTCATCTGTTTACTGCCACGAATTTGATATTCTGGCAACTATCCTTGCACTCAACGATATGGCCTAGTGGTCAATGAAGTGGATGAAAATCATGAGATATCACGTTGAAAAGCCCTCCCAGCTGGGGAAAAAGAAATTGGGTGATTTCTTTCCATTGCCGAAGTCATGGTGGACAGAGTTACCCGATACTTGTATTGGTAGAGGTAGCAAGTAGCCATTGGATTAGACAGGGTTTGTGCAAGAAGGCCGGAACACCACCATTATTAAAGAAGAAAAAAAAAGAATATTCTGGCAACTATCGTCGCCATACTGTGTGAAATTTTCCAAAACAATTGGCAAAATAAGAGCTGCCTAAAGTGAATAGCAAAATTCTAACCAATCTTAAATATCCTTTTTAGGCAAAAAAATCTGGACTTCATTGTCAAAATAGGTAAGAATGGAGTATTTGCAGAAAATGTAAACCCCAAAAGTCAATGTTGAAAAACGACCTTAGGTGAATTCTAAGGAAAAATGTTGATGATTCAGCAGCAATTTTATGCTAATCAAAGCCCAAAATACCAAATTCAAACAAAGAAACTAACAGTAAAAATTAAGGCATAAAGATAATGAGCACTCACCAGTGGAGCTTGAACTCGAAAACCCCTTTGTGCATTTGAAGACCTTTCAATTGTTTGGTCCATTTTTGTACTGAAAGTTTCATCAACAGATATTCTTGACAGGATCCAGAATTAAAAGAATCAAGATTTCACCCCTCTAAGACTCAGATCAAGACCTTTCTGATCCAAAATTCACAAATATATAATTTATCTCTCAAATTCTACTTAAAGATTGAATTAAAAAATGCAACAAACCATAGTTCAAAAGAAGACCTTTTTGGTGTCTCCTTTTTTACTTTATACACTTCAAATGCAAACAAGAAACAAATATACAAAAAGTGCTTATAACCACCCAAGGCTATAGTGGTCAAGTGGGCAGAGAATTATGAGGTTTTTTTGTAGAGACGAAAAATATTTAAAAAAAAATCATATTATAAATTTGAACCACAGCAACTTCAGAAGGTGAGCAGTATCTTTCACTCTCTCTCTCTAATTAAACACTACCCTTCTTATTATGAGCAAACATAAACTGAAGATTACAGCTACACAAATTGTCTTTTAGCTACTTCAATTTTCTTTGCAGATTTTGGTATCAGTTACATTATTGTAGTAATCTTCGATAATTTGAGACAATCATTCAGTTCTTGCCAAAGGACAAAAAGTTTACCAGACATTTTTAGTGGTCGCATTTAATTTATTGGGTCAAATCCAAACCGTTCTGTCTTAGTTTTTGTGTGTGTGAAAGAGAAAGACATGCCAGTTTGTGGCGCGGAAGCCGGGGATGTTACAGTTAAAAAAATGACACTCGTAGGAATATACCTTTCACCAACCCTAATATATTATTCCATCTGTCTTAATTATGTGGTATTTTTTTGTTTTTCCAAAGTTAATTTGATTAATTTTTATAGTTAAATTCGATTAGATCCATTTAATATTTAAAATTTAAATTTAAATATTTTAAAACTATACGAAAAGTACTATAAATTATAATTTTTTTCAGGTCAAATATAAGGAAAATATTATATTTTAAAATATTAGTCAAAGTTTATACTATCGAGATATAAAAAGTATCACATAAATTGAGATGGAAAAAATAATAAAATACTTTTAAAACTTTGATTTGTTTAAAGTCTTTTGCGTGGCGATTTCCTTTTTTAATGTTAGTTAGTAATATGTTGTACCTGAAACGTTTTCTTAGGTCATCTCCGACCCTTGCCTCAATTTTCTTCTCCAAAATGGAGTAAAGTTACTCCAATCATTACTCTATTTTTTATTCCAAAAAGGAAGATTCAATTTTATATTCTCCTCTCTCTTCAATATTATATTATTATCATTTATTTAAATTTTATTTTCTTGTTTCTATTAAAAAATTCTATATTTTTTCTTTTTTACATATTCATCACATATAACTTAATATAAAATTATTTTATACCATAAATTTTTAAATAATATAATTTGTAGGCAAAGATTATAGATTATATATATTAACGGATAATTCAAATAAAAGTAAAACTATTGAGATACAATATAATTAAATACATATTACATTATGGTAAAATTCAGATTAAAGATTACATAAATATTTAACTTTCACCTCTAGTATGCTCCCATAAATGATCTATTAATGCATTACGAAGTGCAAAATGAGTATTTTTGTCCTTAATTTTTTTTTTTGTGTCGAGCTAAAAATTGCTTAAATCGATGATTTTCATCTACTACCATTTCTACCGTTGGAGGTGGACATTCCCAATAAAATTAACTTATAATTTTACATAAAAATAATAAATGCACGAAAAATTACTTTATCAAAATTATATGCCAAAGTTAAGATGTAAAATTAATATTATAAAGATATTACTTAAACATAATTAGGTATATATAAAGAGTTAAATAATAAAAATAATAATAAAGTAAGAATGAATAGTAATGGAGGAGATGAATAATGTCACTACTATTCATCCCCCATTTTTGGGGCAAAAATGGGAGGGCATTGGAGTCACATTTTGGCAAAAATAGACTACATTACGGAGAAATAGAGGAGGGTTGGAGATGCCCTTAAGGAAGAACATCAATGTTGTCCTTGTATTATCTAATATGAAGATATTTTAAGATTAGTTAGGTTTTTTGGTTTAATGTGCAATTAGAAAAAAAAACCATGTTTGCCCTCGAGTCCTAACATAGCTTTAACTTGAAAGTAATTTAAAGGGTATATTTGGTACGAAAGAAAATATTTTTTAAATATTTCATATTTAGTTGGCTTAAATATTATGAAAAATATTTTTCTAATAAACTTATTTTCTATTATCCTCTATTGAAGAAAAATAACTTCCTTAACAAGAGGAAGGAAAATATTATTTAACTCTCTTTCAACATTCCCCACCCTTATTGGAATCCTCTGGCCCACACCCTTGCCTCATCGGGCCTCCAGACCTAGACCTACTACCTTGCACCTCGACCTCACCCAACCCACCTCCAACACCCCTCGCCCACCTTCAAACCCCATGCCCCCGCCGCCTCCTTCTCCCTAGCAAACCTCCCACCTTCCAACTCCTTATTGGTTTGATTCGAGTTGTGATTCGTAGTTTTGATGTTGTTTGATATGATTTGAGGCCTCGAGAAGGTCCGCGTTATGTTATGGAACTTGTTGGTAGGTTTTGACGAGGTCCGCTTATGTTAAGTTCGAATTTCCAAATGAGCCAGTTATTGAGTGAAAGGGTGATGATGTAGTCCCGAAGGATAGGTTTATTTCTTACCTTAAGGCCACGAAAATGATCAACAAGGGGTGTATTTACCATTTGGTCCGGGTTACGGACACCGATGCTGAGGCACCTACACTTGAGTCCGTACCTATTGTGAATGAATTTTCGGGAGTCTTTTCGGATGAACTCCCTGGGATCCCACCAGATAGGGAGATTGATTTTAGGATTGATGTGATACCAGACACGCATCCTATATCTATTCCACCCTACAGAATGGCACCGGCAGAATTGAAGGAGCTAAAGGAAAAATTAAGAGATTTATTAGAAAAAGGTTTCATCTGGCCGAGTGTGTCGCCTTGGGGCGCACCGGTCCTTTTTGTAAGGAAGAAATATGGGTCACTGAGAATGTGTATTGACTATCGGCAGCTTAACAAGGTCACAATCAAGAATAAGTACCCATTGCCAAGGATAGATGACTTGTTTGATTAATTGCAAGGTACCGGGTACTTCTCCAAGATTGATTTAAGATCTGGGTATCACCAATTGAAAATCAAGGAGGAGGATATTTCGAAAATAGCTTTTAGGACTAGATATGTGAATTTTGAATTTCTGGTGATGTCTTTTGGGCTAACAAATGCCCCAACAACCTTCATAGATCTTATGAATCGAGTCTTCAACCTTTTCTTAACTCCTTTGTGATAGTGTTTATCAACGATATCCTTGTATATTCACGCAATCGAGAGGACCATGCCGATCATCTCAGGGTAGTTCTGCAAACCCTATATCAGCACAAGTTATATGCAAAGTTTTTGAAGTGTGAATGTTGGCTTAAATCTTTCATATTCTTGGGTCATGTAGTCTCTAGTGAAGGGATTATGGTTGATCCTCAGAAGATTGCGGCTGTGAAAAATTGGCCGAGCCCTATAACTCCAACAGAGATTCACAGTTTCTTAGGCTTAGCTGGGTATTACAGAAAATTTATGGAGGGGTTTTCTACCCTTGCCTCTTCGTTGACTAAATTGACTCAGAAGGCAGTTAAGTTCCAATGGTCATATGCTTGTGAAAGGAGTTTCAGGGAGCTGAAATCAAGATTAACTACGACACCAGTATTGACCTTACCATAGGGTGCAGATGGATTTGTGGTATATTGTGATGCTTCAAGAATTTGGCTTGGGTGTGTATTAATGCAACATGGCAAGGTGATAGCTTATGCTTCTAGGCAACTCAAGAATCATGAAAAGAACTATCCAATACATGATTTAGAACTTACGGCGGTGGTATTTGCATTGAAAATTTGACGTCATTATTTATATGGGGTCCATGTGAATATATTCACGGACCATAAGAGCCTTCAATATATTTTCAAACAGAAAGAATTGAACCTGAGGCAGAAAAGATGGCTTGGGTTACTCAAGGATTATGACATTGATATTTTATACCATCCAGGGAAGGCTAATGTTGTGACAGATGCTCTTAGCCGAAAATATATGGGTAGTTTAGCACACTTGGAGGCATATCAAAGGCCATTGGCCAAGGAAGTTCATAGATTAGCTAGTTTGGGAGTTCGTCTTGCGGACTCTAGCGAAGGAGGGGGTAATTTTGCAAAATAGTCTGAATCATCACTTGTTGTGGAAGTCAAGGAGAAACAATACAACGATCCATTGTTGGCACAATTGAAAGAGGGGATTCATAAACATAAGACCATGGCCCTTTCTCTTGGTATGGGTGATGGTACACTAAGGTACCAAGGGCCTCTATGTGTTCCAAATATAGATGGTCTCCGGGAGAGAATCATGACCGAGGCTCACACTTCTAGGTATTCCGTGCACCCTGGTTGCTTAGCTGGTCTTTTCGGATGATCAGCCATACTGGGACTGAGACACGGCCCGGACTCCCACGGGGGGAAGCAATGGGGAATCTTACAAAAATGTATCATGATCTTAAGGAAGTCTATTGGTGGAATGATATGAAGAGGAATATAACGGACTTTGTGGCGAAGTGTCCAAATTGTCAGCAAATGAAGGCCGAACACCAAAGGCCCGGTGGGTTGGCGCAGAACATAGAAATTTCGATATGGAAGTGAGAAATGGTTAATATGGACTTTGTGGTAGGATTACCTCGTACTCCTCCTAAGTTTGACTCGATTTGAGTGATTGTGGATCGACTCATGAAATCAGCACACTTCTTGTCGGTTAAGGCTACTGATACAGCGGAATATTATGCTCAGTTGTATATCAAAGAAATAGTCAGGTTGCATGGCACTCCAGTTTCCATCATTTCTGATTGGGGGGCACAGTTCACGGCTAATTTCTGGAAGAAATTTCAGCAAGGTTTGGGTACTCATGTGAATCTTAGTACAACCTTTCACCCGCAAACTGACGGGCAGACAGAGCAAACTATTCAGATGCTTGAGGATATGTTGCGCGCTTGTGTTCTAGATTTCAAAGGTAGATGGGATGATCATTTGCCACTCATATAATTTACCTACAACAATAATTATCATGCTAGAATTCAGATGGCACAGTTCGAGGGTTTATACAGAAAGAGATGTAGATCTCCCATTGGATGGTTCGAAATTGGTGAAGTAGAGTTGATAGGGCCTGACCTCGTGCATCAGGCTATGGAAAAAGTTAAAATTATTAAGGATCGGTTAAAGACTGCTCAGAGTCGTCAGAAGTCCTATTCGGATATTCGTCATAGGGATTTGGAGTTCAAAGAAGATAATTGGGTATTATTGAAAGTTTCCCCCATGAAAGGTGTAATGCGATTTGGTAAGAAAGGGAAATTGAGTCCGAGGTATATCGCACCGTACAGAATCATTCAGAGAATCGGCGAAGTGGCGCACAAGCTTGAACTACCACCTGAGATGTCATTAGTGCACCCGGTGTTTCATGTGTCTATGTTGAAAAAAGTAGTTAGAGACCCGACAATCATTGTTCCGGTTGAGACTATTGAGGTTAATGAGGAATTGACTTATGAAGAGATTCCAGTTTCTATTATTGATCGGCAAGTCCGAAAGTTG